CCAACCAAAAACTACTGCGTAGAATTAATTGGAATTTTTCACACACAAGCCTTGCTATATGAGCTCCCAAAGCATATAAAAATTATACGGCTTAAATGTGAAGTTGGGTGCAAAAGAATACAATTAAATCCTCTGTCGGGAAAAAACGAAATGACTTTCCGAACAACCCTATATTTATATATCTACTGGCTTCCTAGATACCGAAAATCAGCCACTTCTTCTAATTTTTCAACTCCTTTATTTCCCTACTCTTTATTAACAACTCATTCATTTATTCGATCACAATAAATTTCACATCAAATCTGCAAGTAGACTCCTCCACCCGATTACGAAATTACCCCTTATATTTCGTTTGCAAATTTGTCAGACGGTAGCAGTTGTCGGTATTCGGCTATAAAAGTTTGCTTTTCCAGCACCTATTTATACGTAAGTACAAGTCATTAATAACGTTCTCGTTCGTCTGAAAAATGGCAAAGCTCTAATTGCTTCAGCTTAAACATATTTTATTCGCCATTTTCAATACGTATTCGCACCTGTCGTTTGCTTTTGCTTTCAACCCTTCACCAATTAATTTATGTCGAGGGGAACGATTTCAGTATTCTGTGCATGAGTATCTTTAGTGAGTAAATGTGTAGATGTACTAAAATGTACACATAAGTACGACGTGTTTTAGCCGAGATAAAAATGTTCAGTGTCTCAAGAGTCTGTGAAAGCGAGACTCGAGTCTCCGTCTCTCATCGAGTCTCTCTGGTGTCGCTGAGAGAGACTGTCAAAAAAACTGTTTAGCATCTCTGAACGAGTGACGAGTCGCTCTCTGAATTAACAATTTTATCGTTCGAGTCTCTCATAGAGAGACTGTGAGACATCCATAAAAACACCTAGGCAATAACTGAGAGACTGTGAAAGACTGTGAGAGATGCTTTCAGAGACGCTGAAAGACTCTGAAAGACTGGAGAGAGACTGAAAATTTTTGTCTAGGGTACACCTTACACTTAGAACAACTGACCCTAATAATAGACTTACAATTTTTGTCTAAAATAATTAAACTAAATATTTTTATGTATCGTAGGGAGAAAATCATTCTAATAAAAATTTGTCCTTTGAGATTATTACAGAAGTGAATAGAGGGGATGCTTCTGAATAGTGTTTCAATGGAGCCTTTAGCTAATTGTTAATTTTTATAATATTTTAACATTCTCCTTTTTTGCTAGAAAATGATGATTGGTCTTCCGGGTGTAGATTCATGAATTATTTTTAGAAGAATTTTATTCACAAAAGACGTGCCGTTATATATTGGCTCGAGTCCTGCGAGAAAATTGCGAATTTTACCATTAGTTCCTTGATATCAAAGCTTTCTGTTCGGCATCCCATTATTCCATCTTGAATATTTCCTTTTGATTTCGTATATCAATAGCAAAACGCTCGCGGCTAATCGTTTCTTTATAACGTCATCCCTTTAGTGCTTCAGATGCTTTTAAGGCCATAGTTCAAATTCAATATTGATACTTTCTATATTTAGCAACCTTCCAAACAATAATAGTCATTAAAACACATTTATTACAGATACTTTTAAAGAATTTCGAACAGTTATCAGAATTTGATATCGTCAATATTCAAAACGTTTTGTTTTAATAAAGATATGGAAGCATCCAATAATTATTTCAGTGGATACATAATGTAAAGGATGCTTGCCATATTTCAAATCTTTACAAAGGATAAAGTTTAATCAACTTTGAATTTTGACAAAAACAGGAAATAAATTAAAGATGAAACTGTCACAACGTATGAGAATGCTTATTTCATTTGTGTTTGTTTTGTTTTCTTGAATCTCATTTAAAGGAAAATTTAATTTAGCATTCGTTATATTGGAACAAATGTAATGGATTTCCCGGTTCCAAACAATAAAAGGAAACCGGTAGGCCACCAAACAAAAGTACCCATCTGTATTTGGTTTCCCTTGTTACTGAAGGATTCAGTGAGGAATACATTACTGGTAGAACTAACGTTACATTTACGTTGAATTGAATATCAAAGCAAATGCTTTTCTAACGAGTTTTTCCTTTGGGATTGTAAAATCTCCTTTCGAATCGAAGATGATTTTTTGATGTTTATTCGAACGCAATAAAATCTCTTCCGTAGATCTCATCAGAATAACTGTATTGTGGAGTACCTAATATGATTCTCAACGGATTCCCAGAAGTCAAAAAATTCTTTTGCTAATATTCAACATCAAAGAAATTGTTTGATAGAAACTGAAAAGAAATATTGTTGATAGTTAATTTAAAATAAGAAGGTATTTACTGGCATACAATCGAGTCAATTTGTAGACGAAATCTCATTTTTAGATCTCGATACACTTCTGTTCATTTGTTATAGTCCTATGAAAAAGTCTTGTAAGGCGAAACGTCGGTGTGGTTTTTTAAAAATATATGAAACTTTTAACCTTTACTGACTCTGATTTTCTACACTATTTAAAACAAATTAAGAAATAGAAAACATTACAATTTCGTCTTAATTTTAGCTCAGTGTATATTTCTATTAATTGAAAGTGATTCTTCAATAATAAATAATTATGAATAGGATATGAGATATGTTTAGATAGACGATCCAAATTTAAATAGCTCATCTGGGTAACCCTCTAGACACCTATTTCCATTTTACGTCGATTATTGAATACAAAAATATAACAGTATGCCAAATAAAACGTAAAGTGGGCATCAGTTTGGCCATTTATTTGAAAAAATACATTTTTATTCCTCAACCCATTCGCTTTTGAAAAAGCTTCTTATTTTCAATGATCGGCAATTCATCCCAAAACGCTTGGTTATCAAACTCTCCCAAGGGCGTTCTGGTAATGTTCGTACTGGAAAAAATATTCACCACTAAATCTTCTGTTGAACCTTTGAATACTGGCATTTCTTCTCCATTAAGGGTTGGAGTTCTAAAGAACATAACGCTACTTAAAAATTATATTATCAATAATTATTTTTATCCTTTGTCTAATCACAACATTACAATTAATTAATTTGTGTAAATACTTAATGTGGTTTTACCCTTTGGTAGCATATTCGTAAATCAAGTCAAGCAACATGGCTTTCACTTCTGACGTTGGTGATGCTAATTTTCTTGGCATCATAATAGGATTGAATGTTAATTTCGCGTCATCCCCATGCGAGACACCTACAACAATTTCATTTAATGAACTGTTATTAAAAACTAATTGCAACCGCGTGAAACGAAAGCTTAGTAAGACTCTGTTATGAACATGGCCTGAGGCAGCGATCGATAAGGCGACGTGTCTCTATAGGAACTGTTGTAAATAAGTCCTAAAAGAACCGATCAGCGATCAGAGTTGTAAATCATATGTCAAACTATACACATACAGTAGAATCTGCTTAATATGACATCGAAAGGAAATGGCAAACACGTCATACTAAGCGGGCGTCATACAAAGCATAGTCTTAGAAAGTAAACAACTTTCTAATTTGGTTAGTTATTTAGTTTAATAGAGAGAAAAACTACAAATTGTATATATTTAATAACAGAAAAAGAAAAAGAACTTTGAATTCTAATATCGATATACATGGGAAGGGTCAGAAAAATGAAGGAAATGTTATTATTAATCTTTTGGGTCACTATAGCCGGTTATGATTTCTTGAGAATCAGTTATAATAAACGATATATCATTTTAAACGGAGTCATTATATCCAAACTTTCCTATAGAGAATTTAATAGGAAAACCAAACTTAACACTGCAATTACTTCATATTAAGCGGTTGGTTAATATAGGCGAAGTCATAATAAACGAATTGCACTGTACATAAATATTGTCTAATGAATTTAGGAGTTGATATATAAACAAGAGATAATAGAGTAATAGGTAATACGAATACAAATTAATATAGAGTGCTATAAATTCAATAAGCGTTTGTTACAATAAATAATTATATTTATAGTGTTCCTGTAATAAATTGATTATTATCATTATTCGAAAAATGTTATAAACTTGACGATATTTGTGAACTTTTTAAATTCTAGCTGACATTAAACAATTCGTTATATATTTCGTCGTAAAATTTTGTTTTTATGCGATTTACTTTAAAGCAGTGAAATTTATTTAAAAGTTTCCGCCCTTTCACTGTCAATAAATCCAAATTCAAGCTCTGTTCATTTGAGGCGAGGGTCTTGAAAACTGTTAAAAGCTTTCATCGCACTTTGACAGAAAGCAAAGTTAACGTGGTTAAAAAAAAAATACTAAAAGAAAAAATAAACGAATTGCGGTTATATGTACGGTACCTTTTACTCCAAACATGCCCTTTCCGTCGTCGTAGAAATACCTGTAAAAATAGACCGGTGCCTGGGAATTGTTTGCATGAAGTTTCAATGCTTCTAAACCATCGTAGAGAAAATAGCGATCGGTAAACAACTAGATAAATATCAGTATTAATATAGTAAAATTCAAAAAGAATACAAATAATTTTAAATATTTATGCCCGTGAACGGTTAATTTAGAAATTCGGAAAAGGTTGTTAAAGGTGTATGTTTGGAGCGTGGTGCTGTACGGGTGCGAAACATGGACAGTGGGCTCGGCGGGAAAGAAAAGGTTAGAAGCGTTCGAAATGTGGTGTTACAGGCGAATGATGAGGATACCGTGGATAGAGAGGGCTAGAAATGAAGAAGTATTAGAAAGAGTAAGAGAACAGAGGACTCTATGGAAGTCAATAAGAAATAGGCGAGATAGGTTAGTAGGACACGTTCTCAGATATGAAGGTCTAGTCAGAGACATATTAGTGGCAGAAACGAAAGTCAGGAGGGGTAGAGGTAGACCTAGATTAGATTACTCTTCGCAAATAGTTAAGGAAGTTGTTCAACGACATTACTAGTAAAAAGTTTATGCTAGAGTGTATATCATACAGTTAGTTAGTAGCCGTGATACCTAACCCTAAAACTTTTTGCTGTTACTGCACTATTCCCAGCTCCCAGCCAATCCCGTACCGCTCTTCATTCGTGTATCCCTTCTACTACTTGAGTGCGATAAATGCGTTGTAATAATTAATCAAACTTTTTTCAAAGAAGTTATTAGGCATTGTTTAATCTTTCTGTAGTTTTTTAAAACATTTGTAAGAAGAAATTCCAAGTTAACATTGTATTTCTAGTTAGCCTCGCCGGTATCCTGTATAGTACAATGTATTATAGGAGCCGCAAAAACGCGAACTTTGAAATTAAATATCTCTGAAACTATATTGTCCAATCATTTCAGTCTGCACATATAGGTGAAGAATAACTTAAATAATATTCTGTCAAAATTTCAAAAGAATCCTAAGAAAACGCTTTTCATGGAACAACTACATTAAGGATATGGGTTGTTCTAGTTTTAGGGAAATGTGAAGATTAGCTCAGGATAGGAAAGATTGGAGGTGCATGTCCAACCAGTCTTAGAACTGACGACCTTATGATGATGATGATTTATATTACCTTAATTATTTTGGTGTTTGTTTTTGTTATTTTAGTGTCTCCTAAATAGTAACTTCTTAAATCCCGGGCTATCTTCCTCCAGTCCGACGACTTAGCTGTTTCTTCAAAGTATAGAGTGTATGGCGCCATTTCTTCCCAATGTCTATCCAATTCGTGCACTTTATTTAGATAAACAAACGCTAAAAAATTACACGTTTGAATTAATTGCAGCGGTCTTAACGTGTTGTTGTCTGTTTAAAAATTATCGAAAATTTTATGGACGATCTATTTCAAAAACTAAAATTTTAAAATGCTCCTTAAGTAACAACCAAGTACATAAAATAATTTGAACAATCTCCTTGAAGACGATTACACCAAAAAGGAATACAATATATAGCTTACGCAAAAACATAAAAATTCCTTCGTCCTTTACGTAGCTATTTATCCAGGGAACGTGTTCCATTTGTCCTGCGGCAAGTAATTTGTATGGATGATCTGGGAGAAACGAATTTTCCCCTTTTTCAACAACCGGTCCGAACAGTGTTGGTGGAAACGTCTCTAAAACCTTAAACAGTTTCTTTTCAGCTGTTAGAATTTCGTTGACAGGCAATTTTTTTAAACAGTTTACTATTTCCCTTGTACCCTCTGGACACTTAAGTAGATTCCCTAAAGTTTTAAAGTTCTTTGCTGGATTTTTCACCAATGCCCACATATTAAACACTGAACCGCTTTGAGATATCCCTCTGGCAAACAAACCTACAATAGAACATCTTTTAATTGAGACCCAAAATTCTTATTTAAGTAAGTATATTATTGGAATTAAACTTTAAAGTTTTCAATTTTGTTTACAACACAAATATATCTCTACATAAAACTTTTGAAAAATTCATGCACCAGTGACCTTTAGATAGAGGAGATATGTAATGATAGTGAACACTGGCGGCTCCTGCCGAAACGCCCACTATCGTAATCGAATCTGGGTTTCCGCCAAATGCATCGATATTTTCCTTCACCCATCTGAGAGCTAAATTTTGATCTTTCAAACCCATATTTCCAGGAACCACTTCGTCTTCAGTCGAGAGAAAGCCTTCAAGCCAGAGTAAAATATGTGAAAAATTGCTACCAAAAACAAATCAGATTAAATGGAATGGCGGAGAGAATTATCTGCGAAAAGGCGATAAAACTTCCTGTCGAAAAGTTTTCATATAACTACCTACTATATTGTGTTTGTGTGTTGTTTAGAAAGAAAATTCAAAGCGCTAATCGAAAACACACAAACGTTGTTGACTAGTCACTATTCTATCAATACTTTTGAGTTTATTATTTTCCTGTAAATTACAGAACAATATTTTTAAATTTTATTACCTGCCTTATTAGATCAAAAACGGTAAACAAGCAGCAAGAGAATACCACAATTAGGAGGGCGGTTCAATAAGTACCCGTGTTAGAAATGAAGACACCTTTTTTTTTTAAATTTGTTTTTTTATTTTTCAACATAGTCCCCTTTTAGAAAGATACACTTCTCCCAACAACCCTGCCATTTTTTTTACGCCTCCAAAAAATAAGATTTGTCGAACTCTCCAAAATCCCCCCTGTCTCGGCGATGACTTCCTCGTTTGAGCTAAATTTCTTTCTCGCTAGTCATTTCTTTATGCTAGGCAACATGATGAAGTCGCAGGGAGTGAAATCGAGGGAGTACAGGGTGTGCGGCAGCAGTAATTCATAACGTAATTCATGCAGTTTGGCGGCAACAACTCCTAATGAATGTGCCGGTGCGTTATCGTGTTGAAAACGCACCTTCTCTTTCGTCAAATGCGTCCGTGTCTCCTTCAATTTTTTGTCGAAGCGGTCCAATAACTCACTATAGTATTGTCCAATGATCGTTTTTCCTTTTTCCAAAAAATCCGTAAAATGATTTCCTCGGTAACAACGTTTGCCAGGCTTCCTGGTCGCTCCTATCAAAAACGGATCTTTGCCCACGTTTAAATTCGTCGAAGCAATATCAAACTGTGGTCGTAGATGGCGAAATGTCTCCATAAACAGTATCCAACTTTGTATTCATCTCCTCGCATTTCTTCCCATCCAAAAACAAAAAGCGAGTTACCGAACGATACTGCGCTCTTTTTCCATCTTAGCGAAAATAAGGAAACACGTCTCAGTCGAATGCTGCCAAATCCAAACCAACCTATCAGCCAGTCTGAAATTCGTTTTGGCGTGGTTTGATAGATGGCAGCACACGATGACAACACCAATTTCCCTCAGGAACGTCCTCTGTCTTCAAACACGGGTACTTATTGAACCGGTCTCGTATATTTCAAAACTCCCCCAACACTTACAAATAATGTAAATCTCACTGAGGTGAATTGCTTAAGGTTAAAATGTGAAAATAGAAAAATTGAAAAGCATTATTAATAGAAGAAGTACATAGATAACTAAAACGAAGCAAAAATTAATGTATATTTTTGTTTTTATATTGATAGAGAGTAGGTAGGTACGTACCAAAGACACCTAGACGATAATTCATATTGACATATATTACGTCCCTGTCCATTATGTAAAGTTCTCCAGCGGCCACTTTTGGTCCCAACATCATGAAACTACCACCGTGAAAATTCACAACAACCGGCATTTTTGAGTTTTGATTAATTTTTGATTTTGGAATGTAAACGTTTAAATAAAGACAATCCTCTTGACCTAAACAATTTCACAAATTGATAACAAAAATTTTTATTGCTGCTGTTGCATTATCATGGATATTAAAGAATTAATCTAGATAATTAATAACGGTCTATAGTTCATACCCATTTGAAGACCATGGGGTAGATAAAGTACTTGAGAACACAAATATGTAATGTTTGCTGTTAATACGCCATTCCATTTACCAAAAGGCTTTGGGGGTTCAAACCGCAAACTTCCGAGTGGTGGCTTTGCGTACGGTATTCCTTCGAAAGCTATGTATTTTCTACCATCCGCGGAAATCTTAGGAAAGCCTCCTACTATACCATATTGAGTTTCTACTGATATGATGGAAGCTTTGCTTACGTGCAGCACTACTGATAACAAGTAAGATAGATAAGATATCTTTTGTTTTGACTTTTGTTAAGGAAAAGCCGAAAAAACCAAACAGTTAGGAAATCGTTTTAAGTTGCAGCAGTTGCTAGCTATAAACTAGCTAAACTACCAACTTGGCTTATAATTTTGTAGGAACCATTTGAAGTTTAGTTCCTTTTCGTTAAAACAATAAATTTATTATGTTTTGCTTTACTTACCGTAGGCTAAGAGTATGGAGCTTAGATAGTTTAACAACATAATAATCAGATCACTATCAAGACAATCAGAATCAAGACAATTTCTGATATTTTGTTGAGATTATAAAGAGGCATTTAATGGTTATTTTGCGTGTTAGTCTTAATTTGGAAAAGGTAACGTGGTTATAAAAAAATTATATGTTTACAAATTTGATACCTAACGTAATAACTGTAATTTAATAAATATGTGAAAACAATCCGATTTTAGCCATTTAATTTGAGTATTTTTTTAATTATTTCGACGGTAAGGAAGAAATAGCCGTCTTCATTTTTATTCGTTACATTCATTACAAACTCATTAATAGCAACATGTTATTGTTCACAACATATCATTTATGAACAATGTTTCCGTTAAAATTTACAACACAATAATTGGAAGATGTTCAGAAGTTCCTTTAGTAAAGTCAGTAGTTAATTTAGTTGTCAAGTTCCAACTCTTTATTTAGTATTTGCAATTACAGGTAATAATTTTAAGTTTAGTATTTAGGTCACTGTATATATCTTTGACATAGGCGTTCAATAACAATTTTTATTGATTGACTTAAATTTTCACTAATTGGGATATTTAGATATTCTATAATTTTTTCATTATTTTTGTATTTATTGTTGTTATATACTTCAAGTTTTTGCTTTTAAATGTACCCAAAAAGTGCTATCTATGAGCCTAAGTATGGAGAGTTTTCGAAGTATAGAGTATACGAGTCTCTCTTATTTGTTATTTCAGGCTCTATTTGAAATGAGTAAAATCATTAAGAAAAATTAATTTTAATTGAATGAAGCCTCTTCCTAAAGTTTCAATTTAAAGTTTTTCTTTTGTATTCTCTTATTTCTCTGCTTATTTCAAATCAATGGCCAGTTTTTTATTCTAGAAACAGGTTTTAAACGTCTACCATATATTCCAGCCAATGTTATTTACCCCTTTATATGGCTCAAAAAACACCTTTATGGTAGAAAATTTAAAGAATACGGAAGGTAATCGCCAAAAGCAACATTTGGAGGGTCTAAACAATGACTCTTTTCAAGAAATATTCGGGGTTTTAGAAAAAAAGATGATGAACTAAATGTACTGACCTGTTAAGATACAGTCTTGATGAATAACCAAATAATAATAATACATTTTTATGCATTTATTATACATGCCTAATAAGTACAATACAATCTATGTTACAGTATATAACATTAAAATTAATGTTTAAACTAGGATGTAAATAACTTTTCATTCTCTATAATAGGCAACTTGTACCAAAACGAATCGCTTTCCAATTCTTTAAACTTTTCTATAGTTACGCTGTTTGAAGACTTGATATTAATCAGTAAACTTCCGGCGGACTTTTTAAAAGCGGGAAACTCCTGATTATTTATTGTAGGTTTACTGAAAGAAAAGCCACAGTATTTACACAGTGGGTAAAATTTTCCTTTTAAATAATCGAAATTAATAATTAGTACCCAAATTATTTTAAACTTTAATATTTATGAATCGCAGTCGAAGTGTCTTTATTAAAAATTAAAAAAAAAAACAAAGTACAAGCACAAGCAACTAACGAAAGGGCAAACCCCATCCTTGAAAACTAAAATGATGATGAAAAATTTTCCCCAAGTTAAACTGCAATAATAGAAGAGATCATGCTTGAAATTGAAGCCTCATAATATTTAATTATATTTATGTCTTCAATTGCTTATTGCTGCAGTATTTTCCATAAACCAGCAATGTTTTTCTAAAAACAAAGAATTACATACCCTGTCGTTGCATAATTATAAATCATATCCAAAAGTGTATCTCTCATTGCTGCCGTTTTCTCTGGTAACTTTCTAGATACATTAATCATTCGAAAAACAATTTTTGAGTCATCTGCGTGCGCTACTCCTAAAGGATTGAAACAAAAGTCTGCTTTATTCTTCCCATAGAAGGTATAGAAAGGACGCAAGGACGTCCTAGCCGAAAGGATAGAAATGAGGTTCTTTAGGAAAGGATGTTCAAAGTGGCAGGTGGAGGCATTTAATTGTGATTACCTTTGACACCCATTGTTGGTATTCCATCGTCAAAACTGTATCGATAATAATACACTGGCGCTACAGAATTTTGGGTATGTAATTTTAATGCCCTGTATGTATCATAAAGAAAATATCGATCACTGCAAAGCTGAAAATATATAACGTGAGTGATAAAGAAAAACATTTATAGTCAATAATTAGTAATTATGTTAAAGCTTGAACATTCCTGTATTTTACTATATAATCGTTATTTCGACTTTGGATTACTTAGGCAAATTTTGCTACAGTAATATTATCCATAGATAATCTTTCACTTCTTTTCTGCCTTTGGTTTGTCCATCTCATCTTACCCTCACCCTAACTACTACCCACACAGTCGCAGTAAAGGTTTCTTGAGTCGCCAACCCATTGAGACTTGACCTTTGATATTACAACTTTAAACACTTTTGGGTGTTTCATTCCCATCAACCAGTAATGCTGGTGTACGGGCAGTCCCTCCAGACTACGCGGGAAGGTTGGGCGGAAGGACCTCTTCAGCCTGCTTTCAGGAATCGTGGGAATGGGTGGGTGGTGGTTCGGGTGAGAAAGTTGAGACGGACGAAATGAAGACAGAAGAGAATGAAAGATTATCTGTGGAATATTACTGCCTCAGCATTTGCCTAAGTGATCCAAGGAAACCACAGAAAAACTTGGACCAAGGCAGACGGACCCGGAATCGAACCGGCGTCCTCCCGAATGCTAAGCAATGGTCTAAACCTCTAGCCCAGCTCGGTCTTTGAGATTACCCTCACATATCATTACCTTAACTAGTTCACTGAGGGCCCTTGTTGCAGGTTTATCTTCTAAATAATAATCACGTATCTTTTTCGAAATTATAGGCCAATCGGTTTTATTTGCTGACTGAGCATAATTCAGAACGTACGGTAACTGATCATTCCATTTTTCGTCGAACTCTTGAAGTTTATTTAATATAACGATTGCTAGAAGATAATGGACAATACAATTAAGTACATACATTACAGATAACAATCTGTCTAATAAACAAAGACTTACGTAATATGGGATATACGCCTTCATCTATTGTATTGCTGGTAATCCACGGAACTTGCGTGAAATTTCCGGAACTGATCAACTTATACGGATGATCGGGTAAGAAAGCGTTTGGTCCTTTATCAATCACAGGACCGAACAGAGTTGTGGGATAAGTCGAGGCCACCTTAAAAAGTTTCATTTGTGCCTTAAGTATGTCTTTGACTGGCAGGTACTTCAAGCAATCAATCACTGTTTTACCGGACATCTGCGAGCAATTTAAATGATTCGCTAAAACCGTTAGTCTTTCTTTCGGCTTTTGGATAAAAGCCCACGTGTTGAATGTTGTTCCACTCTGAGACATCCCACGATGAAATAATCCTATAAAATTTGCGGTTTTGGAAACAAATCGAAATATCAAGGGATGAAGACATATCCCATTACTCGATTAATGTAGGTAGATATCAGGGATGTAACGGAGGTAGTTTTATCGGAACCGAAGGCGGAGTCGGAGTTTTTAAATATGCTTTATCGGAGTCGGAAACAGAGTCGGAGGCAGGGTCAGAAGTGGTGGCATGAGAGAGAATTTTTATTTAAGGACAAATAAAACATTATTTAGTCAATTTTTTTTCATTTCAATTTTAATTATAAAATAAAACACGAACAATTAAAAAATAATTGACGATAGAGTGCTCAGTGCACGTAGTGGAAGTCGGGGGGGTTCCCCACGCGACATGTATGAAGTTCATACTATGAACCTGTTCATAACAGTCGACACAGGCCGCCGCGCCGCCCCTATATTATGCTTCGACCTCCGATTAAAACCTTCGATTTAAAAGTGTCGGAGCCGAAGTCGGAACCGAAGGTGTAATAATAATCGGAAGTTCCGACTTAATGGAACCGGAGTCGAAGCTCCGTAACATCCCTGGTAGATATACAAAATAAGGTCTGAAAACATTGCAATATAGATACGTAGGTACATACTAGAAATTTTATGAATTGCCTATCGAATGCTAACTAAATTTTAACTAAACATTCATTAACTAAAAGTATTATGTTTACATCAACTAAAAAATAACGCGGAAAAACTTAATGAAAATTTTGAAGAGAGATTTGTACTAACCGGGAAAGAAAAGCCGGAATTCGACCAAAGTAAGGAATTTAATATAAATAATAAAAGATGTAAAAACTATTTATTCCCACCCTTACCCCTAGATAAAGGGGACAAATAATGATAGTGAACACTAGCACCACCAGCAGAACAACCAATTAACGTAATGGAATCGGGATTTCCACCAAAATATTTTATATTGTCTTTGACCCATTTCATTGCAACATTTTGATCTTTGAGCCCCATGTTACCTGGTACTGTTTCATCATCAGTTGACAGGAAACCTCAAATATTAAAAAAATAATACGTTTAATTTTAATTTTCGTTAGTAGTTAAGGGATGATATTCTGTTTTACTTGAAAACCTATCGCATTAGATAAGTCTCATTATTGTGACAATAAAAACAAAAATACGGATACCTATTGGTATCATCATAAGGTCATCAGTCCTAAGACTGGTTGAACACGCACCTCCACTCTTTCCTATCCTGAGCTAAACTTCGCATTTCCTAAAACTAGAACATCCCACATCCTTAACTATTTGCGAACAGTAATCTAACCTAGGTCTACTTCTACCCCTCCTAACTCCTGTTTCTGCCTCTAATATGTCTCTGACTAGACCTTCATGCCTCAGAAGGTGTCCTACCAACCTATCTCGCCTATTTTTTATTGACTTCCATAGAGTCCTCTGTTCTCCTATTCTTTCCAATACCTCTTCATTTCTAACCTTTTCTACCCACGATATCCTCATCATCCGCCTATAACACCACATTTCGAACGCTTCTAACCTTTTCTTTTCCGCCGCTCCCACTGTCCATGTTTCGCACCCGTACAACGCCGTGCTCCAAACATACACCTTTAACAACCTTTTTCGAATTTCTAAATTAACCGTTCGCGAGCATAGAAGTGACTTCTTTTTATTAAAGGCGACACGACCCTGCGCTATCCTCTGCTTTATATCCCTACTACTCCTTCCATCCTCACTTATCTGACTTCCTAGGTATCTAAAATCAGCCACTTCTTCTAATTTTTCGTCTCCTATCTTTATATTCGCTCTTTCCCTACTTTTTCTTCCCTTGCATATCAGTATTTTAGTTTTACTTTTATTTATTTTCATACAGTACTGATCTGTCAGTACCGCTTCCATTTTATTTAAAGCTATCTCTAGGTCCTCCTTGCTAGATGCTAATACTGCTATATCATCTGCAAATCTAAGCATACTAATCTTTTGCCCTTGCACATCTATCCCTACAGTTGTACTGTCTTTAATGATGTTGATGGCGTCTTCGATGTATAGATTAAAAAGTAGCGGTGACAGTGTGCATCCCTGCCTGATCCAAATATGATTAACAAAAGTTAATCTACACAGTATGTAGATTAATTATTCTCTCGAACTAAAACCATTATCATTATTTGGATGAAAACACAAACAGTGATTTGACTTAACGTTATTATTTAAAGGTACCTTTAGACTAAGCGAATCAAAACGTAGGAAGCGAACAAAACATACAACAAAATCATGAGGCTTCGCTTTTGATAGGTATTCGCTATTATAGACATGACATTGCGTGTAGTTTTGTCCTTGATTTCATTTTTTAAAAAATCTATAAATAAGTACTACGTAGACTCAAAGGTAATTCTGTAATATGGTTCAATTAAAAATATGAAACCGATAATCTAGTCATTCAAATTTGCTTATCATTAATTTTGCAAATAATTACTAATATCTAGCACAAGTAATTGTTAGCTACTAATTCACTGTAAGTATAGAAACAAAGTTCTTAGAATATTTGTTCTATACACCAAATATTTCTTTAATAAATTTATTAAATCTACATTTTCGGTAACTAAGTTCGTTTTTCTTTAATTCTTTCTTTGTACTTGTACTTTCTTTTACTTATTTGTGTTTATACGTACAATAAATACTTACCAAGTACTCCAAGCCGATAATTTAGATTTACATATATTACATCCCTATCCATAACAAAATCTTCTCCAGCTCCCAATTTAGCAGATAATATCATAAAAGAACCACCGTGAATATTTACGATAACACTCAAATTTGCATTCGCATCTATTGTCTCTTTCGGCACATACACATTTAGATATAAACAGTCTTCTTGTCCTAAAACAATTTTCATATATTCTGGCTATATTTGTCTATGTTAATTTTTGTTATGTTTTAAACAATCAAATATTCAATAGGTTAAAATTAATCATATTCATATCAAAGATAGATTTACTTTCACAGTTTAACTGTCTGTACTATATTATAATCAATATATTTAGTAGACGAAAATGAACATAATATAAAATTTTATGTTCTTTAGTACGTCTTTTAAACAATTTGCCTGTTTGGCCGATATCCATAAGATGTACTCTTACTGCATACACCTACCTAATTTTAAGTTTTGCACAAACAACACTTGAGAACAGATATATGTAGTGTTGGCATTTAAAACACCGTTCCATTTACCAAAGGGTTGCGGTGGTTCAAATCTCAGATTTCCAATCGGCGGCTTGGCGTATGGAATCCCTTCAAATGCTATGTATCTTTTACTTTTAACGGTTTGTTTATAAAATCCACGCACTTTTCCACCTTGAGTTTCAACCGTTAGTAAATTTCCAGCGAAGCAATAGCCAAAAACTGATTTATAACAACAAAATGTTTATTGATTTTACAAATTTAAATTTTTTGTAAAAAAAAATACCAATTAATTTAAGTAGATATACAAACAAAAATGTGCCTTCAGATAGACAAACTTTTATAACAAATATCAATAACCAATAAATTGCTAACTCAATTCTAATTAAATCAGGCAATTTAAAAATAAAAAATATGTTTTAAAAACTTACGAAAACTCAGCATAATAATTAAATTTTGATGGATTACCATTTTCCGGGGACTACCTCCGTTACTTTAATAAACTTAATAAGTATTTATAATAACGAAAGCTTCAGTTAACGAAACAATTATTTTGAGTTACTGTATGTAAATTTATTCGCTCTAATAAAAGTTGCCTGGATGTAATGTTCAAATCGCGTGCGTTTTGTAAACTGGAAAATGTAATTATTTAATTGTAATTTTGTATTACAGTGAAATCAATATGAAGATCAAAGGTAATATTTGTTAAAACTATAGGTACAGCATTCTATAATACTAGATAATTACGAAGACGACAATTAATTTTAAATAATTAAGTTTGGTCATGCCCGACTTGAACGCTTCATAATACGTATCTATCAATAAATTGAACTGTAAAGGTGTGTAAAGACTAAGCGAGCGAAATTTTATTGCCTTCTTGTTTCTGCATTAGTTTAGCTTCATGATTGAATGTTCAATTATTGTTTACACTGAACTAGTACAGCCCCAAGCTTTTTGTGCGTTCATTTTTTAGCTTACTGCTTAATCTAAACGCAACCTTAGAATAACATTATTGAGATATTAGTTGTAAGACAATTGTTCGACGACATACGGTATAATTGTATGGTTGAGTTTCGATTGGTTCGTATAGAGTATGTCGATGACGTAAAGGCAATCTTTTAATAATGTCACAGTATGTATGCTATCAAAGGAAGTAGCTAAGCCATTGCAATAAGTGTGTTCGTTTGTTTTTTTATTTTTTATTATCAGATTTTGTGTGGTTATCTATTAATACATAAATATATATATATCTATTGTACAAAATTATACAATTATTAATAATATACCACTTATTCACAATAAACTACGTATGCACTTATTAGAATAAGTGCTATTCATTAATTCAATGTACAAATAACTTCCGGTTCTCATAAATGGGTAATTCTTCCCACAATGTTTGACTTTTTAGTTCTCCAAACTCTTCCACAGTTGTGTTATTTGCAGAGTAAATATTAATTACTAAACCTTCTGGTGTACCATCGAAAATAGGAAATTCCCTGTTGTTTATTCTAGGTATCCTACAAAATATACGGTTCCTTTAAAAAAGAATAATAATTTGAAATTAGAGACACACCCTTTTGTGGCATAACTATAAACCATATCTAACAATGTATCTCTTGTATTAGCAACTTCAGATGGTAAAATTTTTGGAACGTGTTCCATTTTGAAGATAATTTTCGAATCATCTGCATGTGCTACACCTGTAAAATTATTACAGTGTTTTTGGTATAATGTCTATTTATTTTTTTCTTATGCATTACAATTTTCTAAGGCATAGTTAGTGGCATATTAGAAGCAGAAACAGAAGTAAAAGTAGGAGTGATAAGTCTAGATTAGATTACGTACTGTTCACAAATAGTTAAAGATGTTGGATGTCTTGATTTTAATGAAATGCAAGGATGGACTGAGGATAGGAAAGAGTGGAGGTGCGTGTCCAACCAGTCTTAGGACTGACGACATTATGACGATGATGTAAATAGCTCTTAAACCTCAGTGCCTTATCAACTTTATTTAGATCACAAATAACTCAAAAATTTTCGAATCCCAACGGGGCTAAACGAACTGTTGTAAATATTATGATGATGAAGTGAATTATTCAACGTAGAGAAACTACTTCCGAATTGTACTATTGAAATGCAAAGATTGGCTCAGGATAGAAAAAAGTGGAGGTGCGTGTCCAACCAGTCTTTGGACTGATGACCCTAGGATGATGATGATGATATTATTCTAGCATAGGTACCACTATAATTACCATTTATGCCCCAAACGGACTCTCCGTCATTAAAACTGTATCTGTAATAATAAACTGGTGCTTGAGAATTAGCAGCATGTAGCTTTAGTGCATTATAGGCATCGTAAAGAAATATCCGATCACTAGCCAACTAAAAGGGAAAATTAAACGAATCATTGTAATGAGACAACCACAATGAACGTGTTTAATTTTAGTTTCATTAACAATATTTACCAGTTTGATATTAGTAGTATTGTTTTATGAGTTACATTTTTATCAAAAAAAATTAACCAAAACCGTATAGAAAGGATAGAAAATAGGGCGGAGAGATTTTAGAAAATGATCAATTTTTTACCTTGATTAATTCATTGAGAGCTTTCGGGGCAGGTTTATCTCCTAAATAATAATCCCGAATTTTTTCGGAAATTCTACGCAAATCTGTATTATTTGCAGTATAAATAAAATTTAGTAGAAAGGGTAACACATCGTCCCATTTTTCTTCCAAAACTCCTAATTTTCTTAACGTAACAATTGCTAAAAGGATAATAAATTGTTTAAGGGGTTATTAAAATATAAGAAACGGACAGACAGACACACGAATGATCCTATAAGGGTCCCGTTTTTCATTCGAACGTACGGAACCCTAAAAACACTGATGTGTATATGCACAAATTGGTCCAATTTACAAAATAAAGATATAACTATGTATTTTAACTTGAAAATACAAAAAATATAACAATTACGTTGCACTACAATGACTCCTTCGTCTACCGTGTTACTAGCAATCCAGGGAACTTGCATAAAATTTCCGGAACTGAGGAGTTTATACGGGTGCTCAGGTAGAAAGGCATCCGGTCCTTTTTCAACAACAGGACCAAATAACAGAAATGGACAAAGGTGGAAAACCGAATGCATTTCCTTTACCGCTTCGAGGATATTGCCGCGTGATAGGTTCCTTAGGCAGTCAATCATTACTTTGCTGGACTGTTGCGAACAATTGAGACGTTTTGTTAAATTCATCAATTTCTCTCTAGGATTATTGATCAGGGCCCAGGAATTCAATGCTGTTCCACTTTGAGACATTCCTCGATGAAATAACCCTATACAAAAATGGGTCAATATATTGAGTGAAGCATCGGGAAGTATCTTTCGTTATTCATCTTTCATTTACCTCTCGATAATGGAGATAAATAGTGATAGTGTACGCTAACTCCACCAGCTGAAGACCCTATTAACGTAATAGAATCAGGGTTTCCTCCAAAGAAATGTATATTTTCTTTTACCCACTGTAAAGCCATAGTTTGGTCTTTCAAACCCATATTTCCGGGAACGATTTCATCATCAGTTGAAAGGAAACCTCAAAAATTTCATTAATAATAATTGACATCAAATATTTATAGACAGCTGTAAAGTTACACATAAAAAATTGTACCTAAATAAATAACGTTACTGTATTGTTACGGTTTTGGTATCTTTACATGAAACTTATCAAAACAAACTACACAATATGCGTATTTTCGTATTAAGTGCGTAACTGAATTCGCTTCTTTTAATTAACAATAACAAAATCGACATCTACAATATGTTCAAACCTACCAAATACTCCGAGCCTGTAATTGAAATTTACATAAATTACATCTTTGTTCATTATGAAAATTTCACCAGCAGCCATTCTCGGCGAGAGCATTTTAAATGTTCCAGGGTGAATATAGTCAATAACACTGAAGTTAGCATTTTTGTAAATTCTTTCTCTGGGTACGTAAACATTTAGGTATAAACAATCCTCTTGCCCTAAAATTATTATTTAAATAACGAAAAATCTATGAATTATGTAACTAGAAAAAAAAGCCTCGTCAAGGTTTGAAAAAATTCTTTAAAGCAGTAAACACATTTTACCCTAAAAGAAGAATAAAATAAACAAAAAAAATTACACGGAGAAAATGAAAAATGAAAATTTACCTAAATATTAAAGCGATATTTACAATTTAT